AATTACAAGCAGTGAATTCTGAAGCAGACTTTCTATGCGCGCCTGCTCTCATACCTTGAAACTTCGGAATTCATTCCCTCCACTTCTAAGAATTGTGCTCCTCGCGACGTGTGCGTGTCACCCGGTGTCACTAACGTCTTCCCAGTTTGTGAGGAAGAGCAGATAAAAACAACGAAAGAAGCCCAGTGCCGCGTGTGATTTGTGGTGATTTACACTCCTGCCTTTTGATAAAAGCTTGAAACAGGAGGCCCGTTTTCTCCTTTTAGCTGAGAGTCCCCTCATCCTTGTCTCCGCTGCCGTGGTTGGAATGAAGCTGTGATAGACACGAAACTTGAAATTGGCCCCGGAGGTGGAGTGGCAGCTGAGTAGACAAGTAGCGAATTGTCAGCGAAGGACCCACGGTGTGGCAGGGCTGGAGCGTGGCCCGGCTCGGGGCCGGGGGCCGGGGAGCCAGGGGCATGGCTGTCGTGTGGGGAGTTGGGGACTGAGGGTGAGGTTGAGGGTGAGGTTGTGTGTCGCCCAGTGTTTAGGAGAAGCAGCTCCCTGAACCGCCTGGAAGAAGCAGAACGATTCCTTAGCGCTCCTTGCCCCTGGGGTGTATCCCCACACAATTCAGAATGTGTTTTACTTTGAATACTGAGTGGTTCGGGAGCCACGTGGTTTCTTTTGCATTCTGAGGTCACCCCAGTATTCATTCAAATGCTGTGACTTTGTGGCAAGTCCAGGCTGGGCCGCGGCTCTGGGTTTCTTTGCTGGAAGTTAAACATCACACGTGAGCTTGCAGCATTTTCACTGCCTGCCTGTAGGGCACACGCCGACGTGAAGCAGCCATTTGCCCCCTGGCAGCCGAGAGGCGGTTTCAGCAGGGGCTGGAAACCACGGCAGGCTGCTGGCTTCCTGGCACACCCACCAGCTCCCGTGGCTTTGCTCTGAAAGCAGACTAACAGGGATGGGAGGGGGGGTGGCCGTGGTGGTGGCAGCAAGATGGGCCAAAATGAAAGCGGAGGCTGGAGTCTGAACGGTATAGAGCCGTTAAGATGATCCTGGATGGCGGAAGAGCCCAGTGCTCCCAAAGCTGAGAAAACCTGAACGTCAGACACAGCAGCTAGGGAAAAAAAAACATCCGATGCTCGCAGCCTGCACTGTAGAAAGTGATTTGTTGATCTTTGTATTCGTAGCTGTAGGGATACCGTAGGTGTCTTTGGGAAAATACTATATAGTTGAAGCTCTTTCATCCAGCCTGCTGTCAAAAATACCTTTTAACCAGAAACACGTAACAGTGACGATTGATGTATATCAATGCCTTTAAGCTCTGCAGAATCCCGACCCCCCCGCCCCCCGAAGAAGCAAATGCTTAAATAGTCTTTGTATGGTACTGAGTGGACCTTCTTAAAAACAGCTTTTTAAATGTCCTTGGAAGTTAGAGTTATATCATATATGGTGACTCTCAATCATAGTACCAGTTTATTCCCAAACACGCTGTCCTTTCTTTGGCCATAGCATGTAACAGGGTTTATTTCCGTTCAGCAGATCAAGAGGTGGAGATATTGGCAGCATAACTGATTTGTCCAAGGACAACCAGCGTGTCATTGTGGAGATAAAATAGGACTAGGCTGCATTCCACCAGCTCCTGGCCTGTGTAGCAATTTTGAGAACTTTCCAATCGTTTTAGGAAAACAAAGTACTTAGCAAATATAAAGAGTCTTTTTTTTTTTAATAAAAGAAAATCACTTATTTTGGAAATCACGAAATTAATCATTCTGTTGTATTTAAGAAGCTCTTTGATGTGTTCTGGTAATTAGTATTTACTGCCAGACGAATGTCTCTTGGGCATTTTAATTAATGGGTGGCTTGGCCAAATGAGCTTCTGATGGTAAACCTTCATAAGGGTTTATTTTTATGTTTCTCAAGAATAGCTGTCTCTTCAAAGCCCTTTAATTAGACAAAGTTTAGCAGCTAAAACATATTATTAGAATAATTAGGCCTTGGGTTAAGAGGAACAGGGGGTCAAAGGAGCAGGTACTGTTAGAGAAGGGCGTCTTAAAATAAAACCTAGCGTTTCACATGTGATGGATGTCCAGTTCTTTAACAGCTTATATTAAGTGACTCTCCCTAGTTAGGGACTTTGTGTTGTTTCAAGTTCATTTGACAGATCTCACCTGAAGTGTGAATACACCAGAGTGCACACTCGTTTATCACTACCTCTGAACTCCTGGAGAAAGTGGTGGTCTAGACCTTAACCCTCTAAGCTAAAGGCTTCCTGTTTTCTTTCTTGTTTTCTACTACCTTGGTCATCTTGGCTATAAAAAGTGATTGCTTTTTGAGGAAAACGCTTCAAAGAACTGGTGTAGGAGCCACTTGATAATACTAACAATTATGATAATTCCATTGAAGGGTCTTTCTTAATAATTTAAGTGATCCTCTAAGATGCTGT